TTTATTCATTCGCGGATAGACCGACCGCTGGTAAACCTAACAGTGATTATTAAACCAGTCCCTCGTTAGGTCGACCGATCGGTGGTCATCCTATAGAAAATGCCCTTTCCAGGAGAAATGTGAAGCTCTTCATAAAAATCCGAAACAGATTTTTCAAGTAGATCTTCTCACCACTAACTTGATCAACAGTCAGCGAATTCTGCCGTTTGGTAGGCTGTGAAATATTAAACAATATTTTACAGTAAAAAGTTGAAGTTGTTACTTTGCACCGTTGTGATGACCGTGTAAAGATTCACCGATTTCTCCAAAGAAAAACACCCGTTCTCACAGCAAAACTGGCAGGAGAGAACTGATTGGTGGTGCTTTGTGTTAGCTTTGTTTTCGTAATTACATCTATTGTTTTACTGAAATTGATACATTCGCACATTCCACGAAACCGTTATAGCGCCCTCTCGACGACCCTTGCACACGCATTATTTTTTTTCTGTGGGAGAGGCCAGGATGCGGTCCACCCAGCAGTTCCGAAGGTCTGATTGTTCGAAAATTCCTGCGCCACAATGCTTGATAGTTTGAATGTACAAATGTACCATAACGTGGGTTCATTAATCTGCCCCCCCAAAGATAATAATAAATAGGCCATGTTAGTCCAAACATTCTAGGTAATGATCCCAAAGTTCATTGGTTTAAAGGTTTCTGAAGGTTTGATGCAGTCCCGATTAGCTCCTCTTTGCATAAGGTTTGACTGTCGGAAAGAGATACAGGTTTTAACAGTCATTATTACTCATTAATCAAATTTCTTTATTCATAATCAATGATAATGTCCGACAGCCCGTATCGGTGATCAAGTAAAAAAAAATGTGTGTGCTATCTGCAGTGAGTAATTATACAGGAAAGGTTTCAAAAGGTTTTTTAAATCTAATTCCTACGAATTCGTTGATCCTGCGGATAAAATAAACCTGAATAAATTGTTCAGTAAAGAAAGGTACCCTAAAAGTAAACGAGAGTGTTCAATCCCCATCCGTTTTTCTCCACAGTGTGCAGTGTTTGCTTGCTTACTCGTTTCTCTCACGTCGTATTGTAATAATATTTGTACAAGATGACCCAATCTTCCCCAAGATGTTCGCTGCAGCCGCTTTAAAACCTTGAGTGGTATTCACAGCGACTTGTAATCGACGATGAATACCAAATTTATCTTCGTTATGAAGACGACACCCACAAGCCTCAGGAAGTGATCTGCGAACCATAAGAAAAGGAAGTGACAGGGCGGAACTTAAAATGAACATCAAGCAGACGGAAGGAACTATGACTGCAATGAGCTCCTGCACAAACATCATCATCCACACATTTAACAGCCTGCTAGGAAAAAAAATTCTCATCATACATGTAACTAACTTCATGCTTACACAGAACCCAGGAGAGGATCCAGGGGGTGTGGAAGACGCATGCCCCCCTTATAAATAAATTATTTAAAAACACACACACGCACACACAGGAACGGAGAAAAAAGAGGGGGCATGCTGCGTAAACTTGCACCACGAAACGCTTAACTCCCCTCCCCCCAAAATGCCCTGGACTCCCGTCGTAATGACTTGCGGGCATTTGACAATTGTTGCTTTCGTCCCCCCCCCTTTGGAAAATCCGGGATTACCCTCTCCCCCTGGGGCTCACCCCTGGCACCGGCGTGTTGGCACACCAGATAATGCTGCCCAAGAGTAACAATATCTGAGACTGAATGTTGTAACATGCTGGAAGACTTTGCCGTCACGGTCCGGTGGTGACCATAGAAGAAAGGGGGCGGTACCGGACAACTTTATAACAATGTCAGTGGAAGCAGAAACAGCGAGGGGAGTGATAAGCAGGACTCATTAGCTTCGGTGAAATTTGCCAGACTCATCCTCATAAAATGGAGCGAAGAGAAGTTCACATTATTTCTAAAAAAAAGTCACGCTTTCAATAAATTCGTGGATCGTGACGTTATCCTCAAGCCATTTTCATGGGGTGGGGGCTAGTCCTTTAGCACTTTTTAACTTTTGTTACTGCTCGCTCTTTCACTTATTTTTGCATTTTGGCATGGGGATAGACGCAAGTTGGGGGGGGGGCTACACGCCCTGTAGAACTACGTCTGGTAACGAGAGCGCAATGGAAGCAATTATTATCACAACGTCAGTTATGGAGAGTTAAGCAAAAAAGCACTAGAATTAAAGAACGCAGGAAACGAAAAAATGGAGTTGTGCTGGCCATCCAGAAACAAAGAAGGATAGACAAGTAGTGTAATGACGTCATATCAGGAAGAGCTGGCAGAAAGTGTTTCCAAGAGGAAATCCAAGTCCCCATCTGCCGGGCACCCCCTGAAAAGCAAACATATTCAGTGCCCCCTCGAAAACGTGTCCACCTCTTCTGAATTAAAAATCCTAGATCTCAAAGATGGAAAATCAATGAAAATTTTCTCCCAGCCAGTGGTTTTGGTTAATGTATTTTTCGAAGTAGTAGGCTTACATGCGTTGGCAGTCCTGTCAGTTATCCCGTCACTCGTACGGTCTATGTAGGATTCGTGCCTCTTATCTTACTTTTGTAAATTTAAAGTTAAGGGCTATGTCATTGTTGGTTTTTAATACAGACTGGGCAAATATGGATATACTGTTCATATTAAATGAAAACTCCTGAAGAAATTCACAGTTTCCAAATTTTGTATTACAAAATTAAGCTTCTGAGACACTACTACCCCATACGGGGTATGTGTATACCCCTTCTAGGTAGAATGAGCAACTGAATCATCTCCAACTTTTGTGATGAACAAAAAATAAAGCAGAATGTTAAGATTTCTTATGATTTCCAAAGACTAAAATATTTGAAATATCACTGAAAAGTGACAAATGTTAAAAGCCATAAATATGCCATCCTGGAGTAGGCGTAAGATTCCGCATGAATGGGATACGCATTACAGCCTGATGTACATCTTTATCATGATCATCGCCCTCATGGTGTCCCCCCCCCGCCCGTGGCCAGGCAAGTCATCCCCCACCTTTGCCATCCCCATCACCCCCGGCCCAATTTCAGCACAAATTTATTCCACTGACCCTGCTTCTTTCAGTGTGTCCGGTAAGACAGTTTTGGGATCAAGTACATGACATCCATCCGGGACAGTTAATTTGACCAACTGCAGACGGGTTGGAATTTAGACGAAATCGGTGTACACCTCATGTCTAACTTTGATCCTTTTGAAAAAAAAAAAACAAACAAATCTCCAGAGGCACGATTACGGCAATTGATTCATGTCCAGGTCCTTCGGAATGTTATTAAACCAAAAAGAGAACAAAAATATTACGGGCGTATGCACGGTGTTTCATCTGGTACATGTACTCCTGGGATAACGCTGGGATTTCACTGTGACCTCTGACCCATAACGTACGTTATCTAGTTCGTCGGCCGGAACTTGCTTACAATGTATAACATTTTTTGAGAACTTCGCATGCATAGCGCCTGCGAACGGCCGCATGGCGCGGCCTGGAATCGGGCCCAATTTAGGGTCTCGGTTTGTTGACCCTGTCTTTTTTACAGTCAATAAACGAACGATGCAGTTCCATCTGGGAAAGACTGCTCGGTTTATAACACATTTCCTAAATTTCTGGCTGTTTTCTTCTATTCAGCGTGAGCTAGCATGTTGAGGTGGTCCCTGCGTTAGAGGCTTCAAAATCTCACTACCGTATAAGTACCTACAGAGGCATGGGCCTAAATCCGAGTCCCGGGCTGGGATTGAGGGGGAAGGGATGTGTATTCCCCTTAATTGTAGGGGGGAATCGGCCCCTTCCTACCTCAATACACGAACGATGCAGTTCCATATGGGAAAGATTGTTCGGTTTATGACATTTCCTGAATTTCTGGCTGTTTTCTTCTATTCAACATAAGCTAGCATGTTGAGGTGGTCCCTTTAATTATGTACTGCGTTACTGGCTCCAAAACCTCACGACCGTACAAGTACCTACAGGCATGGGCCTAAATCCGAGTCCAGGGCTAGGATTGAGGGTGAGGGATGTGTATTCTCCCCTCCTTCCTCCATGATTGTTGGGGAATCGGCCCCCGCACACATATGTTTTTGTGATGAGTATCAAAAAGTAATTGTGAAGAAGTCGTCTGCTTTCCAAGGATAGCAAGTATTTAATACCTCATCAACACCACTTGAAAAGTTCAAGTAATTTCAAAAAGCCCTATGACAACTGTACGCTGTTCCCATTAAGCATGCAGTTAATACATCAATATCGTGGACGTTACCCCCTCCATAAAGATTCATGTAAGACTAAGAGTTTTGCAAGATCCCCCCAATCTCTCACTGTTTTAAAGTTAGTTTAATTTGACATCTGTTTAGATTTTAAGTTGTTTTAATTAATTCAACTTGATCAGTAGAATTTTTGAAAGTTTACTGCAGCTACATAACTGCAGAGCCCGCAGTTTGAAAATAATACCATGTAAGGAAATTTGAGAACCAGGGACTTCCAACGGGCAGTGGGTGTGTTCAGCCTAATTGGCCGAATTAGCTTTGGTTGCGTTAAATTACATGCACCTGTTACGGGCTTTGTTAACTTTCCCTTTGGGCTTACCTCCCTAAAAATGGATAGCGCCAACGGCTGGGGCGCGGCACAGACAGTGCCTATTGTATGTACACATCCATGTAAATTGTACATCTGGGATTATTATACCGTGCGTACCGTCACGGTAGCCCAAGGTCTAAAATTACACAATTTGTAGAGGAATAGTGGCGCCATGGATCGATGTCGCAGGTATGTACCGGTACATCATATAAATGTGTAACGTTAGCGCATATGCAAAATTTTTGAACGTAATCAACCAAAACAAGCAGGATCGGATTGCTGGTATAACTTGCAAAGTTATGATAATATTTTCTGTTACATTGTAATTTTACTTTGGAGATTTGAGAAGTTACCATGGGGCAACACGGTCAGTAACTTTACTACACTACCGTCTGTCATCCCGAAAGGAATGCCAAATAACATCAAAACTATACCTGAGAAACTATTGAAGTATTAATCTCATTAATATAGGGTAGGCTAATCAAAATAAAAATGGAATTGAAAGATTTGAAAACAAGATTGACAAGTTGTAAGTTGGTAGGAGGCGCAGAAAAACTGGTCTAATAGGGCCAATGACAGGATCAAATTGGAAAAGGATTAAATAACTATAAATCCGGGACGGGGGAAAAGGGGTGAATTTAAAATGAGGAAGTTGCTTTACAACACAACTTAAGCCATCATCACTTTGTGCTATGATTAATAAAAAACAGCAATTGAAAATGAATTAATGTGTCAACACATGCTGATGAGGGAGCAGTCTCAAAACTGCTTTTTTTCTTTCGGATCTGCGTGATGTACACTGAAATGATGCCTAAATCGACTTTTATATTGCAGTTTTTCGTTAAATATTTGAATCTGAGACATAATGAAAGGTTAACTGACCTCTTTTTAGGTAATGCATGCATTTGTGTAGGAAACTTTCAATGAGGTATAAAGAATACTATCACCATGTTACAATAGCACATGTTGTATT